AAAAATAATACTAAAATATAATATAAATAATAAAATAAAAATGATTTAAAAATAGATCATAATAAAATATAATATAAGACTAATATAATATCAATAAAATAATATAAAATAATGTTTAAAAATATCTATAATATTACAATATATACCTCTATAGCTTAGATGAAAAAAATAGGCAAGTATATATGTATCAGTATCAAATTCAGTATATCTACGGTTAAATATACTAATCGCTAATACACAAAAAGTATTTGTTATAGGAATTCTGTTTATTGCAGCAGCTAGTTTTATCATTTCTATAAAGCAATCAGCAAGATTTGCAGTACAAGATTCTAAACTATGTATAGTTTCTTTAACAGATTTAATAATAGATGCAATTCAATAACAATTTGAGTAAAAGATATCATCATTATCTTCTAAAATTGAAATAACAGCTTGATTACTAATTTTAGTTCAGTTATTTTCTAAAAACTAAAATAAAATATATAATACATATATAATTAAAAATAATAATAATGATAACATATTAGCAATTAATTTTTATTATACATACATTATCGAATACAGGTTTTAACCTGATAATTGATATAATGGTTTCATAAATTGAGCCCCATCATGTTTCAGCATATGTATCTAAGCCTCTACCACTTATATACATAATTTTTATACTATTATAAAGAAGTCAATAACATATATAGGATTTTTTAAAAAACTGAACAACTTGGTTAACTTGTTTTAAAATAAGACTAACTTGTCAAGTTTTTACTATATTGCTTACAATAAGATTTATTGCATAAGTGATACACCTAATATTCCAAATATATGAATAATTATGAGTAGTTATTTCACATGCAATTTGAATATTACCTCCATTATCTGTTACACATGCTATAAATTTATTAGAACCAATTGTGTTAATGATTTCAGAAATTTTAGAGGCAATAAATTCACCAGTTTGTTCAGCATCTGAAAAATCAGAAATAGAATATAATATTCTTTCTGATCAGGTATTGAAACTATGAAATTGTATAATGATTCACTTGTTGGGCTCGACCAACCATCAAGTGCTAATATTAAAACATATAATTAAATAAATTATATAATTAATATGAAAATAAATTTATTTAATTTTACCTAATGTTAAGTACTGTTCTTTTTCAAGTAAATTGCCAACTTGTACTATTACTCAAGCAGCTTCTTTATCAAGTATACATCCTGCTAATATTAATTGTCCAGAAGGAGTATATCCTGGTTCAAGCATTTTAAGTAGATCATGAAAAAAAAGATTATTGACAAAAGAAAATGAAACTCCTTCACTAACAAAAGCTTTAAGTAAAGCTTTATCAAATTCTCTATTTTGCTCATCTAATACAGGCTCAGTTATCTTAAAATTAGACTTTAAAGTTTTGAATTTTTTGGAAATTGATGATGAATTTTCATTATCACTATTATCACTATCTTTAATATTTTCATTCTGTTTAGCAACTTGAATTAACTATTTTTGCCTTATATTATTAGAAACATCACCCTTATAATGTAGAGCTAAGTGAGATTCCATCACAGAAGGTTTACCATGTTGCTATTTTCCTTTAAGACAATATTTACATTTAGCCCCATAATGACTTTTACCATCAGATTCTTCAAGATCAAAATCCTCCCAAATAGCAGCCTTTGGACATCTATCTTTACTTATTACTTTAGCTTTCCATTTTTTTATAACTGTTCTATTTTGAAATATAGTTATTTCATTTGAAGTAATAATTTTCATTTCATTTTAAGCAGTATTTTCTATTTCATCTTGATTAATATTTGCTGTTTTGAAAGTTTTAGTATTTTGAGTTACTGTATCCAAAATTTCATCAGATAAATTTTGCTCCATAATAATGTTTCTTTAGCGATTAGTAATTACAAATTTTATAAAAACAATGATTAAATACACTAACATTTACTGAAAAATATTTTTATTATAATTGAGATAACAATGTATATATTAAAACAGCTAACTATTAAACTTTCAATTAGAATGATAATACATCAAAATGATAAAAACTGTCTAGTTTTATTAAGATAACAATAAACATTAAACATTCGAACATATTAATCATCAAACTTTCAATCAGAACAATGTTACATTATCACACGAGTTTGCCCAATGACCTGATGTGCTCAAATACTATATATAATTGCTTGTTTGTTTACTAGGTTTGGGATGTCTAAAAAAATGGGACAGGCCTTTGGGTTTGGAATATGGTTTGGGATTATGATAAATCCCAATTCCAATCCCAAATTAGGTAGAAATCCAAAAACTGTACCATTCAGGTTTAGGTAACATCGCTATCCTTCAAGGCAAACATGCCAGCATATATCTTACCAGAAGAAACAAGTGATAAAAGAATAAAATATGTGCAATGGATCTTGAGCAAAAACTATCACATTAAGACAATCAAAGAAGTTTTTAAGAATGGAAACAACTAAGTAGAAGTAGACTTTGATTGCAAACACAGTTGAGATGCAGCGATAGACAGAATTCAAAAAAAAAAGAATGAATGGTTCAAGCTCATCTCAGAAAAAGAAAGAAACAAAAAATCAAAACTTGAACAATAGGTCAAAAACAATGACAAGAAAGAGAAAGAAAGATATAAAAGCCAACCTAGAAGAGAAGAATATAAGAAGAAAGAAGACTTATTTACAATAGAAAATGAAACAAATTCATATAACTGTTTTAAAATATAGAACCTATTTATGAATATCAATGCAGAAGAAATTAGGCATATGTGCAAAAGCTTCAAAAAGATACAAATAAAACACATTAAAAGATCTAAACACAAGACATTAGCAGTAGTTTAAGCAGATCAATTTACTGATAAGAACATTCTATGGACTTTACCAATTGGTGTTCACAAGTTGGCTAGAGTAACCAAAAGTGATGAAGATTATATACAATATAACTTCCAAAACATGTTCACAACAAGACTAACAGAGCTCCTAAGCAATGCTTCAGAAGTATTACTACTATGCTGCTTAAAAAACAAAGAAGCAAAATCAGTTTATATACCACTTAACAGAAATGAAAACCAAAGAAGAGCAGTAACAATTATCTTTGTGTCAAAAGAAGAAATGAAAACAGCACAATTCAAACCAATAAGATTTAATAACTACCTTCTATATTGGAAAGACTTTCAAGAAAAGTGGGATAGGAAAAAAGAAGGTAGTAACAGTCAAAGACACTCAAATACAGAAGAGACATTTATTAACATAAATAAAGAAGAGCAGAAGCCTAACAAAAAAGAAACAACTAAAAGGAAAAATGATAAAAGCAAAGGTGATAGCTGAATAAAACAAACAGAAGAAGACAACTTCAATCCACAAATGCAAGATTTGCTTTAAAGAATCCTAGAAAGATTAGACAGGCTCAAAGTTTAGCAAGACAAAGCAATAGGGAAAATATAGCTAGGGACAAGAGATGGCCCAGCTGATCACTCCTAAAGGCATCTTAGTTGAACTAATGAAAATGGATGAGAAAATTGAAGGTTTTCTATAAAAAAAAAGAGAAATATACAAGAAAAGTACAACAACTTTTTACCAAAAAGAAAAAGAAACTAGAAAAAGGAAAGGGAAAGTAGAAAACATAAGAACAAAACAAGACCAATTAAGGAAGAAATGGAAACAAAAAAAGAAAGAGATTAAAATAGCATGTCATAACATTAATGGTCTAAAAACTAATAGGTGGAAGCTTGAAAATCTGCTCGGCTGGGCAAAAAAGAAGAAAATCGCAATATTAGGAGTCATAAAAATAAACATTACTAAAAAAGAAGAAAAGTTTTTGATGCATGCATCAAACAAAAACTATACAGGGTACTGGACAAATACAGCAGAGGATAAGAAAAAAGGATCAAGTGTGAGAATCCTAATAGAAGAACAATGTAAAAAGCATGTAGGTGCAGTTAGGAGAATAAGTGAATATATGATAAATCATTTTATACTTCAAGCAACTGGAGTTAATAGTGATAGAAGTCTATATACTACCAAATAACAAGATGACAGAGAAAAACATCTGACAAAAAATTGTAGAAATGGTTACTAAACAGAAAAGACAAACACAATTCATGATTATAGGTAACTTCAATTATACAGTGAACAATACATTAGACAGACAATATCTACAGTCAGCAAACTTTAAAAGACTGCCAATCTTTAATTGGATGAGAAAACAAGACTTTATAGATACATATAGAAATATGCATCCAACAAGCCAAGAGTACACATAGTCAAACAAAGAAGCTACAACAAGAATTGACTATATTTGGGTATCAGAAAAATTGGCATCAGGTTTGCAAAGGGCAAACATAAAGGAAACAGAAGGAATTACAGAGAGTGATCATAAAATTATAATTGCAGAAATATGAGTTAAACATATAATAGAGAAAACAGTAAAGCAGAAGTTAAAAAAAAAGAACAATCAAGAACACTATATCTATATAATTAGACAAAACCAGATAATTGGAAAAATTATATACAGGAGCTGCAAAAGTGATTAAAAATAAAAGAAAGTCTAAAAAACATCCAAACAAAGGTGCAAGATATAGAGAAACATACAGACAAAATAAATAGTATATAGGATATTATAGAAGAAGCAATTATTACAGCAGCCAATAAGCATATACCTAAAAAAAGAATATACAACACAATGACAAATAGAAGAACCAGTCAGAAAACACAAC